GGGCATGTTTATCGCGAGCTGGGCGATTGCTCGGCAAAGGCGCTGCGCCGCGCCGCGGCCGGTTTCTGTCGCGGGGCGCGAAATCGCAGGCGCGGGGCGCCGGCCGCGGCGCTCGGCCAGCCCCCGCCGCGCGCGATCATGCGGCATCAAATGGCAGTGGTTACAGTGGCCAGCAAGGCCCATGCTCGCGGCCAACGCGCGAGCGCGCGCGCTTCGCGGCAGCTCGCGCAGGCGGGGGCAAAGAAGCGACGCGTTCATGTGGCGCTTATACACAACGAGGTCGCCCGCAAGAGTTGGGCGGAGAGGGCGATCGATGGGGGGCCCAGAGTTCGAGCTCAGCAAGGCGGTCGGTAAAACCGATCGCACGCTGCCGAGTATCGCCGAGGGGATTTACGACAGCGGCGAAGCTGACAGTGGACCCAGTGGCAAGGCGGAAGCCGCTGGCAGGGCAGCCAGCGCGGCCGCGTCCAACCACGAGGGCGCTTGCAAGGGCGGCTGGAATTGCATGGGGCGGTCACTCGGACAGCCAGGGCGCTGGGAAGCGCCACCAATGGGAGCGGCCCACCGCGTCTCCGGGCCGGCACGGGGGCGCCCGCGGCTGGGCCCCCAAGATGGACGAGAGAGCGGTCGCGTCGCCGAAGCGGCGCAAGACGTCGCATTGAATATCCTCCGCGCAGGTGGCCCGGTTTTCGATAGCGCTCGCGAGTCGAGGCCGCGCGACTTTCTCGCGCCGGGCTTGGCAAGCGCGCCGCGCCGCGGGGGTGGCAGACGACGCCGTCGAAGGCTCGTCCGAGGCGCCGGCCGCGGGGCCGCAGCCCCGGCGTGCTCGCGATGCGCGCGCCCAGGGATTGCAGGCTGCAAGTTCGCTTGGGGGCACGCCCGTGGCGGACAGTTCTGGCGCGGCGCAGGCGCGCGGCGCCGCGCGCGACCGGCGCTGTTCAGCAATTGTCACATCGCGCACGTCAGGATCCTCGAAGAAGACGCCGCGGGCACGCCCGCGTCAAATTCGCAGGCCGGCGCATTCGCGCAGCCGCAGCCGCCAGAGGCGCGCGGGCAGCGGGCGCTCGGCAGCCTGGGTGTCGCAACGTTTCGCCCGCGGCGGAGGTTGTGGATGGAGAGAGTAAACGCGCGAGAGTCGCGGATCGCGCGGGCGACCAAGAGGTCTGCACTCTGCGCGCGCGCGTGGCCTGGTCGCGGCCGGTTGCCATCAGGCACAGGCGCCGGTTACGGCGTCTCGGGCAACGTGCCCGGCGGAATGCCAGAGTGCGCCGGCGCCGAGAGGGTCAGCGGCAGGATGCAATGGGAACGCGTCCATCGACGTGATTGCGTTTGCGAATCTCTCGTCTGCCGGCTTCAAGTGCGCGGAGAAGCCCATTGTCGATTTCGCGACTAACGCTGCACAGGATGGGTCGCCCCCTTTCGAGAGCAGCACAGCGTCGCCACAAGACGTCTTGGATGCTGCGCGCTGGTCCTTGGCGCGCTCCCCGGCCGAGGTCGTTCGGCGCCGGGAACTAATCGTGTGCAGAATCGAGGAGGCTGCTGCAGCGCTGCAGGGGTCGGGCGAGGTTGCCAACTGGGCAAAACGGGCGACCCCGACGGTCGCCAGAGTCGCGGGGGCAGTCAACGGCCCGCTGTTTGAAAAGCTGTTGAAGATGGCCGGCTGGAGCGACCCAGCGGTTGTCGACTTCTTCGCGCAGGGCGCTCCGCTCGTCGGTGCCCCGCCCAGGTCTAGGGCGGCGTGGGCTGGAGGCGAAGATGCGCCATTGGCGGTCGCGGACCCCCTGCTCGGCGCCAAGAAAAGGAACGAGCGGCTAGTTGCGCGCAGCCGGTGCGACGAATTCGCCAAAGATCTGTTCGGCCTTGCCTTGCGGGGCGCTGAGCTGGGGCGCATGTCAGTGCCGCAGCCATTCAAGTCGGCGGACATGGCGCGCTCAGCATTGGCGCCTCGGTTCGCGGTGGCGCAGGGCCTGCGCCCCGATGGGGGCAGGAGGATCCGCGCAGTGGACGACTGCGCGGCGTCGGAGCCCAATGCCGCCACGAGTATCTCGGAAAGGATGCGACATAACACCGTCGACCGCTTGTTCCAGCTGGCCGCGTTGTTCGCTGGCGAGGGGCGCGCGCACCCAAAGCTCTGGAAGGCGGACGTCGACGCGGCCTTCCAGAGGACCCCGTGCGACTTTGGGATTATCTCCTCTCCCTGGGCCACGTTCATGCACAAGGGGAAGCACGTTGCCGCGAGGCACAACGCGCGCCCGTTCGGCGCTGTGTCGAGCGCGCACAATTGGGAGCACCTGGGGGCCGCCGTCGCCGCGATGACCCACCGGGTACTTCACATACGGGCGCTCCGGTACGTCGGCGATTTCTTTTCAATCGACCACCTGGACTCGGTGGAACATGCCCTTGGTTTTATCGCAAGGCTTGTTCGCTGCCTTCCATGGCCAACCGCGGTCAAGGCCAGCAAGCTAGAGCACGGGGCCCCGCTTGTCGTGCTCGGCCTGGAGATCAACGCGGCGTCGGACGGCTTCCGTGCCCGACCAGCGCCTGAGAGGGCATCGAAGTGGATTGGTCGAATCCAGGAGGCCCTGGGCTCGGGCGGCGGCTGCGGCTGGCTTCCGCCCGGTAAGCGCGCGCGCGGGCGGCAGTGCTCAGTCGCGAGCTTGCGCGCGCGTCGCGCGCAGGCCAGGCGTCAAAATTGGCAGGGGCGCGACTATGGGGCACGACGCATAGTTTCAGGAGGGCAGGGGGAGCTACCCTGAGGCCGGCCGCATCAACTTCGCACGCAAGTGCAGCGCCGCCCTCCGGCGCGCGACGCGACCGCGAAGGCCGCTCTTCTGCCGTGCGCACGGGTCACTCAGCTACCAGGCCCGGCAGAGCTTGCTGCGGTGGCTCGACGCTCTCAGGCTGAATCGCTCCGAAGCGCGCACGGCGGCCCGACGAGCGCCCTCTGGCGCTGCTCTTCGCGGGCGCCAGAGGGGGGCCGGCGAGGCAAGCGGCGGCGATGGTGGTGGACGGCCGCATTTTGTTCTGCGCCGCCGCGCCGCCGCTGGAGCTGTTGCGACGCGGGCCTGGCACTCGCCCCGCGCCCGGACATTCCCTGCGCGTCGGTGCGACAGGTTGTTATGCGAAAGAAGGGGCGCGCCATTCGCTGGACTCAAAATCCTCGCGATCGCGCTCGGAATTTCGAGTTTTTCCGAGCCGATCCGCGGCAGACGGGCGAGAGTGTTTAGTGCTAACACTGTCGCGGAAGGAGTGGCCAGGAGAGGCTCTGCCCGCTGCTCCGATCGCAACAGTCTCGCGCGCGCGCGTTCTGGACCGCCGCCGCGGAGGAAGGTTTGCAGGCATGTGTTGACAGAGTTCCCTCGAAGGTCAACATCGCTGACCTGCCGTCGCGGGGGTGTCACGACCTCCTCGGGCGCCTCGGTGCCGAGCGCGTCGCGCCGCGTTTTGAATCAATGTGGCGGGCCCCTGACGCGTGGCGCGGCGGTCCATGAGCCGCGCGGGGTCTGGTCAAAGTGAGGCGTGCGCAAGTTCGGCGAGGCAGCCTGGCGCGCCCGCGCGCGGTCAGCGGCCGCCACGCGCGCGAGCGAGCTCCGTCGAGTGCGCGGCGCGCGCCCCCCCCCCCCCACGGTGAGGAGGCCGTGCCGTGACATGAGTATTCGCGATGCCCTTGCACGTCGCTTCCTTTCGTTCTGCGCAGCCGCCATGATCGATGCGGCGGAGCTCCTCGTCGCCAACGACGCCTTGTATCTCGACGACGGCAGACAGGCGGCGGGCTGCCAGAGCTGGCTTGGCAGCCAGGCGCGCGAGCGCGCGCGCGCGCCGCTCAGGCGCGCAGCTCCCCTGCGCAGGCGGCAAGCGTCGGGCGCATGAGGCCGTCGCGCGCCGCGCAGCAGCGCGCCCCTCCGGCGGGGCCGCCGCCGCCCGGAGTCCGCGGGGCCGCGCCGAGCTGCAAGCGACCGCACACAGCGCCCGCGGCCCCTCGTCCTCGGACAACAGCAGCGGCAGTAGTAGCTCGCCGGAGTCATCCGCGCCCGCCCCCGCGCCGCCCGCGTGCAGCCGGGGGCGCGACAACGCAGAAAGCTTTGTGACGAGGCCGAGTGCGAACGCGCGGCTGTTCGGAAGAACGCAGGCGAACTCCTCGGGGCAGCGCGGGCAAGTCGCGGCGGTGACCAGTCGCGGCGCGAGCGCGAGCGCCTGCGCGCGCTACTGCGCCCGTGTCCTTGTTCCCTGGGCACAGTGGCGGCGGCGGCAAAGTCTCGGTTCAATTTCGCCGAGAACCGGCTGCGCCGCGCGGGCAACGAGCTAGCCCCAGATGTGGACGGCCTGCTGGTGCGGTCGTGCACTTTCAAGTATGCCGGCATCTTCAGCAATTACGCGAGCGCGCTTCGCGCGGCTTGCGAGGCGCGGGGGCGACGCGCCGGAGCGCTCACCTGGGGCGCGCCCGGCGCAAAGGCGCCGCGGCTGAATGCGGACTGCTTCGGGGCGCGGGAAGTCGGGGGGGCCCGCGCTGCCATCTCGAAGCGCAACCCGCGGGGGCGCCTCGAGAAGCGCTGCCTATTGCACGACGACCTCCTGCGTCTCCTGCCTCACGTGGCAGACCCGACGCTCCGAGCGCTGTACTGGTCGTGCGTTGCACTGGAATGATATGGGGGAGTTTTGGGGGATGTCGCATTGGTTTCAACCATCCGTCACCCTCGGTGCTTCCCGCTTCCCGCCCATCCCCGGGGCTGCTGGAACCCCGGGGCCGCCAGGGTTGGGGTGGGGCCCGCGACCACAGAAACCAGCCAAAATGGGACATCGACCCCCCCCCCCCCCTCGGTGTACCGGGGCCCCCTTAGTACATCGAGGGGGGGTGGGGTCGGCGTCCCATTTTGGGCTGTTGTGGGGGGTCTCCGGGTGCCCTGTCCGCCCCTTTTGGCGCCTCGGGGGCCCGGGGCCTGGGCGGGCTGATGCTAATCATTCCGTAGTCAACTCGTGCTCAAGAGTTGCGCTTCTGGCCCATGCCTCAGCGGTATCTGAACGCTCTTGTAGTGTTGGGCACTGCCGCGATAGCTGCTTGGCGGGAGAGCCTCCGGTACGACGGCGAGGGCGGTTGCACGCTCGCAGTGGAGGCGCTGGCTCGGGAGTTGGAGTACCAGCTCAATCTTTCGGGGTCGACGTTTCCCGCTCCGGCACCGCTTACGTGCCCCACTGAGGCCGTGGAGGCCGTCAAGGACAAGGTCGAGGAGCTCGCCGCGCGCGGGCCGCAGGACAACAGCGGCATCGCCAGCCTCGCACAATTGGTTGGCGGGGTCGTCGGGCACGCGGTCGTAGCGCGGCTCGCCCGTCGCCATGGCGCTCGCCCCGTTCGAGGGGGCGGTCTTCCGCAGGCGGGGCGGGGCCGAATGCGAGGCGGAGGAGTTCTTGGGTGAGCCCAGGCCTGGCCAGACCATTGCGGTAAAGTATGGTGGCCGCGTTTATCACGAGCGGGTGCTGATGTCCCCCGTCTTCTTCGAGGGTTGCCACCCAGGTGCCTGTTGGCATGCCGCCAGACTTGGACGAGTACACCGAGGACTACGGGTTGACCACTGACGAGGGGCCCGGCGAGGTGGTCCTCCTCGGTTTGAATGGGGCGGCTCCAGGGGTGCTTCGGCGGCGACTCTACCGTTTCAAAAGGGGCGCCTACCCAGATGACGGTGATCTGCTCAGGGCTCTGGGCCGCGGGAATCGCCAGTGCGTTGGGCAATGCAGATTGGCGGGCGTGGAGCCGGTGATCGTGGGCGAGTACGTGAACCACTTGGGCGTCATCGAGGTGGTGCCCGAGGAGCCCCCGGAGGCTTGGCGCCCAAGCGCACTCGAGGCGAGGGGCGCAGGGAGCCGTGAAAGGTCGCCGCCCCCGGTGACCGAAGACCACACGGCCCCAAAAGGGCAGCTCTGGATGATCGTCGAGGAGGCCAGCGGCAAGTTGAGGCTCGGCACCGAGATCGAGATTCACGACGGGGACTTCGCGAGCGGGGCCGACGCGTTCGTCCAGCGCGGGGGCATCTGGGCCCACGCGCAGCTGGTGAGGGCCGCTGACGTGGCCGCTGTTTGCAAGGAGATCCGGGATCACTACCACGTGCCGGCGCTGGCGCCTGGCCCCGAGCCGAGTGGGCCCCTGGCGGCAGGGGGCACGGCTACGCCCCCGCCGGCGGCCGAGGACGCTAGGACCCTGTGGATTGATTACGACGAGCAGGGCAAGAGGCACAAGTCGTGGCACGCATTCTGCGGTGAGATCACCGAGGAGCCGCTCGACTGCCCAGAACTCGAGGGGCCACCTCGGGGCGCGATGCATCTGCTGAAGTACATGAAGCGCGAGTCTGGGACCCCCAAGCGCTGTTTCCAGGACTTCGCCAGGGATTACAACATCCAGAAGACCGACCGCGTGTGGCACGAGCTGTCAGCTTTGGTCGAGTGCGTTTCCCTCTTTGGGCAGTATGATCAGGTCAACTTGCCGTCCCTGGCCGGTGGTGAAAGGTTGTGCAGGCGCTTCAACACCATCATTGAGGCCTACGCATCAGGCGCGGGCGGGACCCTCAATTGGGAGTTGGCCAACATCCTCGAGGGTGAGATCGGCGCCACGGAGGCGATGGACCCCCAGCTGCGCCAATACAGCATGAAGAAGCTGAAGGACCAGAGGGACATCGCCAGCAGCCGCCGCCCCTGGGGCGGCGGCGGGAAGGGCGACCCGCAGCTCCCCGAGGCCACGGGCAAGGCGAAGACCAAGGCCAAGGCGAAGGGGGACAATAATGCCCAGGCGGCGGGCCGAGCCGCAGACGAGGGATGACCGAGCCAGAGGGTCGCCGGGGAGGGCTCCATACCCGCGACCCGCGTTTTGTTGGAGCAGGGGCGGCGCCGCCGTCCTGTGAACGGAGGAGGCTCCCAAACATTTGACCCTTCGGGGCCTCTTCCTTGCATGCGAGCAGCATTCGCCCGCTTCGGGGGGGCGTCGCGCTGGTCGCGGCCGCGTGCGTCGGCGAGAGGCCGAACTGTGCCGCGAGGCGCTGATTTCTGTTAATTGGATGTGCAAGAGTCAATCGAGCGGAGATCATCCTCGCCATTGCAGCGGCCAGGATCACCATCACAATCGAGTCGCCGATACTGGTCATCATCATCGTGGCGCTTGTCATCATCGTGGGGGTGGGGTCCATCATGATGGCGGTGATGGTGAGGGAGGAGATGAGGCAGTTACGTGTACCCTAGAGCATGCGACTGCGCGCTATGTGGAAGGGCTGGTGCGACTCCAGCAGCCCACTGTGATTGGTTCTGATTACATCCGTCCGCAAGCGGCTCTTCAGGAGTTGCTGCGTGGCCGTGTGTCGGGCTACAGGACCGACTCGGCTGGAACCACGCTCACCCCGCACCGAGCTGGCCAGGTCTCCCTCCCCGACCCCGTCAAGCAGTTGACGGCGATCGAGGACCTCGTGGGGGCCAGAGGCAGATCTTACTTGGAGGGGGAAGGAGAGCGGATGAGGCTCGAGAGCGGGCGAGGGGCGCTCGGCGCCCTGCCCGACGGTGACAAGCTGTATGTGGACCCCCGCCTCGTCGGTAGTCGACGCCGGTACGTGGGGTTCCTCAAGGACCTGGAGAGGCGCGGGCTGCTGACCTACGGCTCCTGGGTCCACGAGACGGTCGGCATTTTCTTCGCGAAGAATAAGTCGGGCCGTCAGCGCCTCATCGTGGACGCCCGGCGTGCGAACGCGCGCTTCGATCAGCCGCCGCACGTCGACCTCCTCACTGCCGAGGGGTTGGCCAAGCTAGAGATCGCGGGCGACGAGCTGGGGGGGCGGCTACCGATTTACTGTGGCACAGCGGATGTCAAGGACGCTCTCCACAGGATGGGGATGCCCGCCTGGCTGAGGCGGTACTTCGGGTTCCCGCCCGTCACCGCTGCCGAGGTGGGCGTGCATTTCGTTGACGGGAAGCCCGTGGAGCCAGAGGACGCCCTCTGGCCTCTCCCCCATCGCGCTCCCGATGGGGTTTTCCTGGTCCTTGTACTTCTGTCAGGAGGCCGACGTCGAGGTCGTTTGCAGCGTGGCGGACCGCGCCGCGTTACTCACTGACCGAGGGCGGCCCATGGTGCACCGCGTGGACCGGCAGGGGTCCGCGCTGCGGGAGTACGTCTACGTCGACAACATCGGGGTGCTTGGGCAGGACGGGGGACTTGTCTCCAAGACCCTCGGCGACCTTGTTGAGGCCTTCGAGAGCAGGGGCCTGGCGATGCACGAGATGGAGGTTTCGTGCAGCAGCGTGGAGGCGCTGGGAGTCGTCCTCGACGGTTCCAGGCGCCACACCCGCCTGTCCGCGCGTCGCTTCTGGAAGGTGCGAGGAGCTCTCCTGGCCGCGTCCCAGCGGAAGCGGATGTCTGGGCAGGCGCTTGAGATCCTGGTCGGGCACGCTACGTTCTGCGGGCTCCTGCGCCGTGAGCTCCTCTCGGTGTTCCACGCGGTGTACGCCTTCATACATAAGCACAATTGGGACCCATGCGAGATGTGGGAGGAGGTGCGCGCGGAGCTCAGGGCTTTCGCGGGGTTGATGCCGTTCCTCGTTGCGTCCTGGGAATGCCCGTGGAACGAAGTGGCCGTGGCAACAGACGCCAGCGAGCACGGTGGCGGCATCTGTTTGCGCAGGGTCGGCGTCGAGGCCGTCGAGGAGATCGGTCGGCAGCCTGAGCGCGATCGCTACCGAGACCCCGCGCACGTCCGCGCTCGCTCCGCCGCCCTGGGCGGCCCCCTCGCCGATGGCGAGGCTTTTCGGCGGGGGGTGGAGCTCGGGGGACTCCCTCGGAGGCCCCTTGAGCCCGACGCTGAGTTTCGAGAGGTGACCAGAGGGATTCTTGACGGGGAGGAATGGCACGTTGCGGCCGCTTGGCCCTGGCGCCGGGAGGAGAACATTCTCGTGCTTGAAGGGCGCGCCCTGCTGTCTGGACTTGAGAGGGTTGGGCTGACCAGCCCGGGGCGCAATCTCAGGCAGGTTATGTTCGCCGATAATCTCGCTCTCGTTCTTGTGATGGGACGGTTCCGCACGAGGAACTTCAAGTTGCTGACAGTCGTTCGGCGGTTCGCCGCTGTGTGCCTCGTTCGGAACATCCGCGTGACCGCGCGCTGGATCCCCTCGGAGCTGAACCCCGCGACTACCCGTCGAGGCTCTTCGACCCCGGTGAGCCGCGGGCCCGCGGGTCCTCTGTCGAATCGTCGCCGGGGGAGGTTTGCATCTCCTCTGAGCGATCAGGAATTCTGCAGCCGAGTGTTTTGGAGGAGGGCGGAGGAAGTGACGATGGCGATGCTGGCCCCCGCCCCCATTTAGTTTTGCCCCCGCATGTAGAGCACGCTGATTGGCAAAATGGGGGTGCGAGGCCGCGCTCATGGCCTGGTCACTGCGCCATCCCAGTAGACTGTCTGGCTCAAAACTCTGGGCATGCTTCCAAAGACCTCACCTCGCTCGGCGCCGCCGCCCCAGGGGGGCAGGCGGGCGCGCGCGCTGGCCCCGACCGCCCCGCTGGAGCGGCGGCCCTTCGTTCATGGGGCAGTTGCGAAGCGCCGGCGGGTGCTGCCGCGAAGCGCGGGGGCGCCAGTAACGGGCGCGGCGGCGCCGCCTGGCGCGCGCGCTGGCGCGCGGCAAATGGCGGGCACCAGGGGCGCGGTGCTGAAGCAGCTCCTGTGTATGGAACCCGTGTAATACCCTCATATATACTCCTTATCCTTACCTCTCCCGCACCTGGCCGTTTGGGCTCAGGTACTGAGTTGGAGCGATCGTACCTTGATCGCTTGGGAGGGAAAGATATCCATCTGTCCCTCCATCTCTCTACCAACGGATCAGGGGTTCTGTACTCTTGTACTTCAACCCCATACACGGTTATCAGCCCTTTAACGCTCACCTTCACCGACTCGCCCGCGGTGACGTTGCATGCGAGCCCAATGGAGCCGCTTCGGCGCATGCGCCGTAAGGGTTCCATTGGGGCTTCGCGTCCAAGCTCTCCCACGGTGCGACGGCTCGGTGACGAGTTGGAGAGCATTAATGCGGACTGTGTTGGTGTCCCCGATACCCCCCCCAGCTCCCGAGGACCCGAGGCGCGTCTAGCTGCTGAACTTCGCCGCAGCGCCGCCCGCGGGGGGACAGGAGAAGGAGTAGGAACAGGAAGGAAGGAGTTTCACACGCCGACCTTTGATCCTCCCTCCCCTTCCCCGTCGGGAGCAATCCCAACCGCGTCAGGCGAAAGCCTTACCGGTCTCGATACTCCAGGGCGCTTCCGCGCTAACCGCCGATGGACCTCAGGTGCTGGAACCCCCAGCCCTGCGACCGTCCCTGTGGCGGAGCGCGTGCTACCTTCGAGGAACTCAGTAGACCAGTGTCGGCACAGCCACAGACGCGGTACCCCAAGGTATCATCGGATGAGACATCACACACACATGGTCCGAGTCGCAGCTCGTCCGCGCGCAACCGCCGTGGAGCCCCAGGCCCATACGGCGAGCGCAGGTCGAGCCCGCGTACTGCCTCTCAGAGGCCATGCACTCCCCGCGACAGGGGACACAGGGAAGCTGACGCTCCCCACCTCTCCATCTCAGACGACCAGCCGGCGGAGACGTCCGCCGCAGGTGACATAGCTGAGCTCAGAGACCAGGTTGAAACCTTCGTGTCCAGCCAATACTCTGGACTACTACAGAGCGTTCAGACGAATGCCACGGATACTGCAGCCATACGCCGCGATCTTGACGGCGCCTTAGGGATCATCGGTTCCAGGATCTCCGAAGATAGACGCATCATAGGAGAACTGCAGTACCAGGTTGATCGTGAGGTGTCACACTCAGGTGAACGAACGGCGATGGTCGAGAACCTGCGCAACTATCTCGCGCAGATGGAGCAACAACTTGTGATCGTACGCGACACAGGCATTTCTGCGGTCAGGATTTTACACGATGAGATCCACGACCAGCTCCGTAACCGACCAACCCCAACCGAGGCCACAGACCTCGGCGACGTTCAGTCTCAGATCAATGATCTTCGATCTTACCTAGACCACACTACGGCGACGCTTCGTACCGAAGCACACACAAACTCGTCGAACCTGATCGACATGTTGCAGCGTACTGAGAGAGTCATCACTCAAAGGCTTGATGCGACCAACGCTGTCGTGCAGCCACTCGCTAACCGGATCTCTGACATAGAGCAGCGTTTCCCTGGTGTACAGGACGCCCTGGCAGAGTTGCGTGTCGGACGAGCCCAGACTGATCAGCTGGATTCTCCTCCCACGGTTTACGATTTCGCCCGCCTCACTGACAGGTTGCAGGAGGTTGAGAAGGCGGCGGACCACACGCAGTTAGAGCTCTCCCAGGTTATTCATGAAAGAGATACTGAGAAGGTACGTGTAGAGAGTTACCTCGCACGTCTGGAAAGCGAAGTGGAGGCACAAAGCGCCCGTCTCCGAGCATGCGAGCATCGACTTGATCGGTATTCACAACGTTCTCGGGATACTGATGAGTACACACGCCAAAAGGTGGGTCAAATACAAGAAGACATGACGAGCTGGACGAATCAGCTGATCGACCACACTAACGACACCAACATTCACCTTCGACCTGCAGCCGACCCGCACAGGCCGACGGCAGCGTCCGCCGAAGCACCACAAGCTTCAGCAGGACAACAACGACGTACATCTCCAGGAGCAGCCTCCGCGGCAGTTTCTGCACAGACACGACATGTGTCTCCTGTGCGCACAGAACCAACCATCGACGGTGCACCGATACCCTCACAACCAGTGTCTGCGGTGTCGGTACATACAACGACGCC